ATATACACATAAAATCATAGGATGTAAGTCATAGCAGACTTGTGTTGCTTTCCATCGCTTGATGGAAAAATAAAGGTTGAGTGAAGTAGATTTTATAGATAAGTGTGGCTGGGATAAGCTCAAGATACTGTAATACCTTAATTTTATTGGTTTTGTATAATTATGATTTTTGAAGCCATATGTTACTATTGAGCATTATATTATATTATATATAAAGGTATTATTGTAAATGGGGCCAAAAAGACATTAGAGAGTTTTTATTTCTGGAAGTGCAGAATGGGAAATTTATATGACAGGATAATTATGAACTTTTTCCAGAATAAAATCTGCATAAAATTAAGTAGTAAATTTTTTTTAGCCTTTCCTTATTCTAACTTTTGGTTATTTCCTAATTTTTATGTTAGTTGAATGTTTTAAAGGAGTAAACTAAATTTTCTAGTTAAGGAATCTTTGTTAATATACTGTTAAAAAATAGAAACCTGTGTGTAATATAGTATATTATATAGCACTCAACATCTTATTTAAAAATTTTTATGTTTACCACTTAAAGTATTCAAGTACTTTTCATGAGGCCATGAGAAATCAATAAAATGTATATGCTTTATATAGCACTAACATGATATGTAATCAAAATAATACAACAGATGGTTTTTCTGAACTGTTTTCACATTCTGAATCATCTATGGCCTCAGCGAGGTCTGCTACCTGAATGTTCTAAGTGATTAGTTGACATAGCCTGAATTGTGAATCTTGAAACAGTTGAGTACAGTAGTGAGTGGTGTTCATATATCTGTACAAAACCATTCTAATACACCTTACAGTGAGATTTAACTGTTTTAAATTAACACAAAGCTTAATGTCTCATTTTGGCTTATTATCTCCTTCTCCTAAACTTCCCATCCTCTCTCTTATTCTGGCAGGCTTTAACCCATTGTGAGCAGCTGAAAAGTGAACTGGAGAAGCAGACAGAGCGACTTAAAAAGGAACTTGCATCTCAGCAAGAGCAGAGGGCCCTGGACAGAGAGGCGCTAAAAAAGGAAACAGCAAAAGAAAGGGAAGACATGGAATCTAAGGTACTTCGGACTTGTCACCCACCTGGAAATGTTTGTGATGGTGTCAGATGATTCTAGAGGCTGCCATTCTTGGGTCAACTTTAGGTTTTAAAATGTTATAAATCAAATTTCTCATAATTTAGAGTTCATTAAAAGTTGTATATTACTTCATATATTTTGCAATGGGGTTTATTATCCAAACTTTTGAACTAAAATAATCAGTACAATTCCATCTACTGAAATTCTGAATTTACTTTAACCCTGAAGTTCTGTTCTGTTTTCTCTCATTCGAGTTTGCCAAAGGAGAGCAGGTTCTCTGAAGATACCTAGACCTTATATTTGTCTAAATAAAAGACAAATGACCCATCCTTTTATCCCAGAACACAAATTAAACATTCTAAGATATAAAACATGTAAGAAGTGAAGTAATCAAGAAAACCTGACTACAGACACCATAGGAAATCAGTCTGGACAAACTATATGACGTATAATGGCCATAATCAAATGAACAAATGGAGGGAAAAATTCAGGACTAAAGGGACAGATAATAGGAAATGGGCATTGCCTTTGAAAAAGCAGTAATGGGCTGTGGTCTGTGGCATAAGCACTTGCCAGGCAAGCACAAGGTCCTGAGTTTGATCCCTGGTACTCCAAAAAATTAATTAATTAATTAAAAATAAAGCAATAATAATTTGGAACCTAGCTGTAGCCCTGGAGGCATCATGGCAAATTTTTAGAAATGACCCTTTATGGGGGTGTAATGCTGTTATGGTTTGTGTCTAGTTGTCCCCCCAAAGCCTCATGCAGTCATGGGGTGAGGACTTCTAGAGTTTGTGTTAACTCATGATCCACTGGGATTATGTGTGATCCAAAGCTGGGATTATGAATCTTAGTACTGCTCGGATTACCCATAGGTGGGTAAGTACTGGGAAGGACCCATAGGTGTGACTACTTCCCCTGCCCTGGGGCAGGTAATCTGCATTGCAATGTAAGGTGGGAAGAGAAGCTAGCTGCTTGAGCTGCTGCTACCCCTCCCTTGCACTCTTGCTCTTTGCCGCCACCATGAAAAGTTGCTTTCTGCTCTGTGCTGCTCTGCGTTGGACCCAGCTGAGTATGGACTGAAACCTCCAGTAACTGTGAGCTAAATAAACCTTTCCTTCCTTCATTTTGAGTGTCGGGTATTTGTCCCAGCAACGAGAGAAGAGTAACTAAGACAGAATTTGGTACCAGAGAAGTGGGGTCGTTGCTGTGGCTAAACCTGATCATGTGGATTACAAGCTTTTGGGACTGGTTCATGGGAAGAGATAGGAAAGATTTGGAGATGTCGTCTACACGCGAAGCGCTGGAACAGCTCCGGCTGTTCTGTATGGGAGATTCTGGTCAGAGCTCAGAAGATCAGAAGGTTGGTAGAAAGCTGGCCTGTAAAGACCAGGCTGGGGAGGTTTCTGCTGGGAAAAAAGACAGCATTGGTTGTTGGACTCCAGATCATTTGTGTTTTGACTTGGCAGAGAAGTTGTCTGCATTTTGCTCGTGCCCAGAGACTTTGCCTGAGACTGAGTTTAAGCATGGCAGACTGATCAATCTAGCACAAGAAATTTCAAGGCAGCCAAATATTGGGGCAGTGGCCTGGTTGTTACTGGGGGCTTTTAGCCAGATTTATTTTGAGAATCAAGAGCAAAGAGCCCAAAAGGATGATTTAAAATGTTGTGAGTTTGGCCAGAAAGGAAGCTCCAGGAAAGCTGTGGACTGTGAAGACAGAGCTGAGAGGATCTCCATTGCTGAGAAGGAACAGGAGAGAAGAAAAGATGCCCCGAGGGCATCACAGGAGGTGGCAGGTTCCTGCCCTTTGCAGCCTAAGAATGGCAAGGGTGAGGGACTTTGCTTTGAGGAGAAAGCTGCAGAGCCCCATGTTCCAGAATGGAGGCGGCGGGCCACACCGGGTTCCAGAATGGAGGCAGCAGCCACATCAGATTGCAGAATGGCGCCCGCATAGAGAATTTGTTTCTCAGAATCAGGGTCAGAGTGCTCAGCGATCCAGGCACTCGACCCGTACAGCCAAGAGAGAGGAAACCCTGGCTACTCCTCCAGCTGGCAGCAGCCCTTGGCATCATCCACGTGGCTTTGGTGGTTGTAGGCGCATGCAGAATGCAGGAGTTCTGAGGTTCAGAAGGCTTCCGCCCAGATTTCAAGAAGAAGGCCTGGGAGGCCAGGCGGTGTGCCCCTGGGAGGGCAGTGTGTGAAGCTGTGAGTGAGAAGCCTACTCAGTGGAAACCTCAGAAGTTTGAAAAAGCCAGGAATGTGGATGGTCCAAGAAAAGCTGCAAAAAGGGAGCAAAGCAGGCAGAAGAGAGAAGCCATAAGAGCTACCAGCAGAAGTGCCATAGGGGTGGAGCCACGTAAGGCCTTTGGAGCTCACAACTCATCGCAGATTGCTTCAGATGATCCACATGGAACTGCAGGACTTAATGTCTGCCCTACTGGCTTCTGGACTTGTGTTGGTCCCAATGTTTGGTATCCTGCTGTGTGTACCTTTTGGAATGGTGATGTTTATCTTATGCCTTTGAATGTTGGATGTGTTTAACTTTTCTTTCGTACAGGGGCTCACAGCTAAGAGTTTGCCTTGGATCTTGGAGGAGACTTGGGACTTGGACTTTTCAGTAATACTGAAATGGTTGGGACTTTGGCAACTCTTAGAGATGGACTAAAATGTTTTCAAACCTTTCCTTCTTTCATTTTGAGTGTCGGGTATTTGTCCCAGCAACAAGAGAAGAGTAACTAAGACAAATGCCCATGTTTGTTTTTTAGGAATATTTTTATTGTTGAATTATTAACTTTAATTGTATGAGTTTACTATATTAAGCAATGTATACTTAATAGGAAAATAAAAGATCAATAAGTAAAATATTAAATTTTTAATACATGCTGAGTGTGTAGAATAAACAACAATTTTAATATCAACTGTTTATCTGCCTATAGGATCTAGAAAAAAATAGCAGAAATCAATTCCTATGTGAACTACAATGAAAATACAAACACAACTCTATCACAGAAATAGGCTGTCTCAGTAGAACAGTGGTTACGTGAGACGACTGCATGTTCCGTACACAAGTCTCGCTCACGCTGACAGCACAAGCACCTGGCTTTGCTTTCCGGTGTGGCAGATTATGCTTGCCATCCCTCTTGTCCTCCTCTTTTGTTAAGGGCTTCCTATTATATTATACAATGTTCACTTAGATTCAGTTTGTAGAATAAGCATTAACGGTTTTTGCATGTTCACATAATAAATGATAAGCTGTTCACATAATAAATGTAAAAGATAACAGCAGAAATAAATTCTTATTTGAACTACAATGAAAATACAAATAAAACTCTACTGCAAAAATGATCTTTACTTCAGTGATCACACGTAAGGCAGTTTTCACACATGAGAACAGCATGTTCTACATGTAAGCCTCACTTACATGAATAGCACACATGTTTTTTTTTTGAGTCTTCTCTGGCAGGACACAACTGACATCTTGCTGGCCTTCCTGTTTGCTGAGGCGGTCCTTGTCTCACCTGTCTGTTCACTGTGCTGCTCCAGAATTCTTTTGAGGAGTTCTTGGGTAGATGCATATTTTTTTTCTATTATAACTGAGCATTTATCAATTCCAGATTATTTCCCAGTCCTCTAAGAAAATTTCTCCATAATATTTTCTGCTTGTTATTTTCTTTGTAGATTATGAAACTATTTGTGCCTGACAGGTTTAGGATTGAATAAAACACAATCATTGGCCAGTGCTTTGTGTTTCAAGTGACATCATAGTTGCTGCCTTGGGTGTAAAATGTGACCATTTTTGGCTTATTTTGTGTTGACTCATCAATTGTTTGTTTGTTTGGAGACAGGATCTCCCTATCTTGTCCAATCTAACCTTGAACTCACTATGTAATACAGGCTGACCTTGAACTTGTAGGATCCTCCTGCCTCAGCCTTCATGTTTTGTTTCCTTTTGTTTTGGCAGAAGCAGGGATTGAACTCAGGTCCTTGCACTTGCCAGGCAAGTGCTGCCTCAGCCTTCTGAATGCTATGATTTCAAGCATGTGACACCACGCCCAGCCACACTGTCAGTCTTATCAGCATGGAGTAACATTGATAGCATTGAAATTACTTTGTTTTTCTTATGCATATAGAAGGCCAATGTTACGTCTTTCTGCAATTCAAAGACTCTACTACACATTTCTTTATTGTGAACTTGCAGTATTTTTTCAGGAATCTCAGCTTTGTTCTTGGAAATAGTTTTGTGCTGATCAAGTGGTGGTCTTTTAACAATTGTAACATCCATGGATAACTAGTAAACCAATTGTTGATTGTGACGTTGTGTCACTTTTTGAAATAAGTACATGAAGTCTCTTCACAAAGTCATCTGCAAAAAAAAAAAAAAAAAAAAAAAAACTGGTAGCTGAGTTCCAGGATTAATTTATAAATTCAAGATGTACAATGTCTTTTCATTGACCAGGGCATATATTTTTATACCATATCTGTAGGGTTTACTTGGCATATATTTCTGAAAGCTTCAGCAACCATGAAATAACGCACATTGTTCATCAGTTTTCCTGTATTTCCATGGTTCATAAATCGCTTGACAGTTTGTAACAAAACTTTCAACAAATAAGGAAACAGTAGCCAAATTGTTGAGATTTCTCTTCCTTGGAGGGTCTTTATGACATTAAAACATAGGTAGTTTTGAAGAAAACCAAATCTCTTGAATGTCATTATTTTTCTTCATCCTCAATACCACATGTCACTTCTTCATAAATCTTTTAGATTCTGATGATTACAATGATAAAGTCCTGTTATGAAGGCATTTACTTCAGAGAGTGAGGTGTCTTGATAAATATATTTTTGAGTATTACCATTGATACATGTAGAATGTTTTAGTTTTATTTCATTATTAGTGTATTTGAAACATCTTGTAGTGTATTATCTATTACAATTTCCAACATTGACTTGCAGAATTGGCTTCTATCGAATAGGTTTCACCT